ACGTGGTAGTAGTAAGGTTTAGGGTAGGTTAAGTTAAAGGTAAGGTACGTAGTCTACTGTTCATTTACTACTATAGTACGTTTTATTATCTCTATATATATATATATATATATATATATATATATATATAAAATCAGGACATCCTTATTCATAGACATCTATATTAATTGAATAAAAAGACATGTATATACATAATCAGGGCATCCTTATTCATGGACATCTATATTTATTGAATCAAAAGACTTGATCATGATGTAGTTATTTTTAAACATCACCATTTCCTCACTAACTTGCTTTAAAATTGTAAAGTAAAACATGTCTGAAATCTCAAAACCTACGCAGCACTGCAATCAGCAGGAGCAAAGAACATCCTCTTACTTTCGAGGTTGTACTCTACCTTCATGTTCCTTTGCATCAAGGTACCTATAGAAGAAATAGATGAAGCCTGCTTCATGGCTACGCAGACGACTCCCGGAGCCACCTCTAAATACAAGTTCTCAGGACTCACTACCCAATCAGCATTATCGGTGAAGTGCAACGTAATATTTGGAGTTCCAAGTTTAGCGTCGTTTAGACTTCCCTGGTAGCAAAGATCCAACTGGTTTAGGGGGTCACGGGCCGATGGCGTAAATGTCACAACCGCCTTCAAATTATCAATCAATTGGTTGTACACTGATGAGCTTAAGAAAGTGAGAACAGTGCTAGTGTCTAAAAACAACCCTGTTTGATAATTCACAGGATCAAAGGAGCCTGGTGGTATACCAATTCGTTTTGCACCTACACTGATGTCCATAAGGTTCAAGAAAAAGAATTCCCCATGGAGTTGGAGTTGGAAAATTGGCGTCGCTTTGACATCAGAGCCTGAAATGTCAGCCGGATCTCCCATTGAAAGCGTGCCGGTGCCCTTCGGCGAAAGGCAATATGAGAATTTGTTACCGAGAGAGCCACTAAGTTGGTTGACAAGGGAGAGAGGCCCAGCCCCAAATCCTGCTACGCCGGTCCGTATATTTCCATTCATTGCATTATCAAAGCCACATCCAAACTTGATTCCCCCATATGAGGCTGAGCCACCACTAGAAGAGCCCAAGAAGGTTATGGTTTCACTTGACAATGTGCCATGTGAATGTGAGCCACCCGCATAGTTAACCTCGTAAGGGCAGCCATCGGCGCACGGAGGTGGTTGACGGCAAATGGGGTCATTGCAACTGACCTTTTGGTATGTAGATGATTTGGATGGATCGAAAATAGGGTCATTTTGGGTGAAGCAGCTTGTGCATGGCACACATTGTGTCCACAACATAACACCTCCGGTATCTAGAGCCAATGTGAATTCTTTAAATGGGGTTCCGATCCCAACCTTCATCAAGTATCCATAGTTTTGTAATGATAATGGTGTCGAAACTTCCAGAGGCAAGGTACTCCCCATGAGGAGATGGCGGGAGATCGAAAGTACTATGGCCTCCCGAATCCGATCATGCTCAGTGGCGCTGGCATTGTAAAATGCAGACTGTGGGGAGTCATGATGGATGAGGCCTAGGCTAAATCCTGTGATGTTTTCACTAGCGGATTGATGAACAAGCGAAGTTGCAGAGAGAGTATAAAGAAAGAGAGTAAGAGGTCCTAGGAGAGCCATGGATTTCAAGATCTCTTGGAACTTTAGGATATGTGGGCATGTATGTGAATTTATATGTGATCAACCCAGGTTTGTGCCATAAAGATTTGCAGTTAATTTTAGATCGATTCTTGATAGTGTTTTTGATATGTCAAGATTTGCCTGCCAATATGCAATCGATCGGCAATGTATTTTAGTAATATTACTTTGTCTTAGGAGAAAAATTATGCCAGGTTCGTGTTTTCATAGTTTTATAAAGTTGGGGGAAGTTATACAATAAGATCATTTACTTTTGGTATAAGGGTATTACAAAATTGTTGACAGTTAGATGTAAAATCGGATGGTTCTGAATGTATCATTGACTAGGCATAATATTCATAATAAAATTTATCAAACATTGTGACACATTTCAATTAATTGATTTCACATCCAGTGGCTAAAAATGATAGTGACTTATTTGTACAAAAAATAAATATTCTTAGTATACAATCCCTTAAAAAACAGTATGACAACCCAGGAATCACCTAAGTTGGATAGAAATTAACGGTTGAGTGATTTGGTGTAGAACAACGCTAGAATTGCCAAAGTCTTTATTTTCAAATTTTTTTCATTTTCATTAGTTTTCGATAGAATACTGCTTAAGGGGTTTCTTTAGAAAAATTTGGGGTTACATGGAAATATTTTCTATTACTTTATATGTGAACATATTAGGAAAGAAATCAACAAATATTTCAATATCTCATTTGTACGTTGTTTCAATGCAGATGGAGTGCATGTTAAAGAATTCATTATGGATCCTTTGTGGAGGGAGTAAAGTGGCGTAAGATCTTCCAAATTACGTTTTTAATGGAAGGATTTTGTGGAATTTTTAGGATCTCAGCTTTTACCACCCAAATTTGAGGACCCTTTTTATTATTTTCTATTTTTCTCTTTTGAAAAATAAGAAGACTGGAAATGGACTCAAGACACAGGTGGGCTACCATGGATAGGGATTGCTTCCCAGCTGATCTACCCAAATAAAAATTATCAGTAGTTTTTAGGTGAATAAGTTGAGTCTTAGGAATATCAAGATGTAGCCTCTTTGCATGAATTAGTTTCAGTAGTGCTGATAGGTGTGTCTTCTATCAATCATGTTGTACAATTGCTTGAGGGATTCAATACTTTTTTTTTTTTTGTTTTGGGGGAAGGAATACATTTCTTATGTGCTATGCAAATTTCGTCCAAATTCAAACTCCTTTTTTATAAGCCAAATCCATATTTTTACTTATTTTACCGATTATAATTGGGTGAGATTTGTATAACGTTGGTGCGTTAAACCATCAAAGAAACACGTACCCTGAAATGATGTCGAAAGATATGGTTCAAGTGGTAAAAATCTCTATGATGACCGGCAAATCTATTTTCATATCTAATTATGAAATTTAAAACATAAAAAATAATGTAGATGAAGCATATCTACAAATACTTGACAATTTTAGAAAAATACCCTCTGGATGATACATTTTAAAATACATGCATTTCGAGGTTGAGAGGGATTTTAAGCTTGAGAAGAGCCTTTTTCAGTAGGTTTTGAAATGTGCCTTATTTCTATATTATAATTTGCCCCCTTATATAAACCTTTCCCCTATTATTATTTACAAGATTTTTTTCTCCCGACTTTTTGAATCTGAAACGATTTAATGCTGATTTTTTGGTTGGCCAATATATCGTCGTTCCATAAACCATGTGCAACATGTGCTCCCGCGCGAGCACGCAATCTTTTCGCGTCAGAATCGAATTACTCAGAGCAAGCAGCTGACCATAGCCACAAAGCTGTACCATATCAAAATTGAGTATCATGTTTTGGGATGTAGCAGTTATTCTCTCTGTAAAATCTTGAAAGAGATCATGGCCGCTTGGTGCTCCAGCGGCTTATCCATTCAATTTCCACATCCCCTTCCTGGACTTTCGCTCTCTTCAAAACCTCCATCTCCAAATGAGGTAAGTAAGAAGCTTTTTTTCCATTCAAATCATGACCCCAATTTATTGAATTTGTCATCTGGTTTAGCTGGAAAAGCTTATGCTGGAGTTCGATGTGAAACTGTGCACCCACTTGTTGGTTCTTCATCTAAGTTTTGCAGTAAACAATTTTCAACTAGAATTGATGGGAATTATGGATACCCAGTATTGTACTCTGCTTCTTCTGTTGGAAAACATTGTCAATTTATGTTATTTCCTTCAAATTCACCAAAAGAGGCACTTGGGTTAAGCACTAAACTGCTTTCTGCTACATTTAGAGGTAAAGTTATCAGAGTTTGTGCAACTTCTACTGAAACTTTACCCCTATTCATCAATAAGGAACCCAAATACATCAATGTATTGGTGGTGGGTTCAACTGGGTACATTGGGAAGTTTGTAGTGAGAGCATTGGTGCAGAGGGGTTACAATGTGATTGCAATTGCTAGAGAAAACAGTGGGATTAGGGGGAAAACCAGTAAGGAGAAAACCCTGGAGGAACTGAAGGGAGCAAAAGTATGCTTCTCTGATGTGACCAATTTACCTGAACTGGAAAAATCTATAGAAAACTTAGGCATTTCGATAGATGCGGCAGTTTCATGCTTGGCCAGTCGAAATGGGGGGGTCAAGGATTCATGGAAGATCGATTATGAGGCAACTAAGAACAGTCTCTTGGCCTCTAAGAGATTTGGGGCCTCTCATTTTGTCTTGTTATCTGCAATTTGTGTTCAAAAACCCTTCTTGGAATTTCAGCGTGCAAAGCTCAAATTCGAAGCTAAATTGCAAAAGGAAGCAGAGGGGGGTGGGCTCACATACAGTATAGTTAGGCCCACGGCTTTCTTCAAGAGCTTGGGGGGTCAGGTTGAGATTGTCAAGGATGGGAAGCCTTATGTAATGTTTGGTGATGGGAAGTTATGTGCTTGTAAACCAATTAGTGAAGAGGATTTGGCTTCTTTCATTGTGGATTGTATCTCTTCGAAGGATAAGATAAACAAGGTTCTCCCCATTGGAGGACCTGGTAAAGCCTTGACACCATTGGAGCAAGGGGAAATGTTGTTTCGCATTTTGGGTCAAGAACCCAAGTTCTTGAAGGTTCCTATAGGGTTGATGGACTTTGTGATTAGTGTTTTGGAGTTTTTGGTGAGGATTTTCCCATCTTTAGAGGATGCAGCTGAGTTTGGGAGAATTGGAAGGTATTATGCAGCAGAGAGCATGTTAGTTTGGGATCCAAAGACTGGGAAGTATGATGAGGATTCGACGCCAAGTTATGGGAAGGACACATTGGAGGAGTTCTTTGAGAAAGTGATCAGAGAAGGAATGGTTGGGCAAGAGTTGGGAGAGCAAACCATATTCTAGGGAGAGAATTTGCCTATCAAGTCATGGAGTGACTGGTGCGCTTCATTTTTATTAGAGGAGATAGATGCCTATCTCAATGATTTTTCTATGTTACTTCTCAAATACTCAATGTGTACTCCTTTTAAAAAAAATTAATGCGCTGATTGATTTTTCTGTAAACTCTAGCATGCCCACATGAAAAGAGCATAGTTTCTTGCATGCCTTAAAACCGTGAATAATATAATGTTCAGGACTGTTTATAGAATGCAGGCTCTGTATAAGAATGAATAACACCAAAAATGATTACCTTTTGCCTCTGACAAGCTTATCAATACTAATTTGCTGTTGTTATATGTGCACCACTGTGTAAAGTATCTTGATTTGTCAGTAAATAGAGCATTTATGCATTATTGTAAACAAAAAGCTTTTGGACAAGGAAACATATTTAGCTATGTGCTCGTGTTCTTCCCTCTTTTGGTTTAACTTCAAGTTAGCCTACTGCTTCTTGAGTATCATGGCTGCTATGCAGATGTTTTGGCCTTGATGGGCTGAATTCTTGACACCCCATGACATATTACTAAATGGAATCTTGACCAAGCACGTTAAGTTGGGCTTTGAGTTAACTAGAGTTTTTGTAAGTATCATTCACTTTGTACTTCTCAATTTCCTTTTGCAGATCACTGGAATGCTTTATGCAGTTATTTGACTGCTTTAGTTCTCTTCTTGTATAATGTTGTTAGAATGTCGTCAACTTTCATGATTCCATGATCAGTCAAATTTGTAAGGTACATCTGAATGTTGATTTAACTTGGATATATTTGTGATTATTGCAAGGGTGATTTAACTTGGATATAGAAATGATTATTGCCTATTGAATAGTACAGTAAAAGATTCACCTTATCAAGATTTATATTATATCTAGTTGAACTTAGCATGCAATAGATGCTGATTTGGTAACTCAACTTTTAGTAATCCACTCAATATGGTGCAAAATGGTGGGAGGCTAAACCAGGCTAACCAGCAAACCACGGAGGTTCGTATTGCACCGATGTTTGGGCCATTGGGTGGCAGCAGTTAGGGGGCATTGGTGGATTGTTAAATTAGTGAGTGCCCAAGATCTGCGCCTTAAGAATTTCTTTATCTTGCTTTGATGCTATGCTAATCAACATGGTGTATAGTGGACTTAATTTGAATTATTTACGCAATGCATTTTCATAAGTGAATGCCATTTACCAGTTCTGCAAGTCTTGATTTACCTCAAGCATGGCTTAAGCTGTCATTTATGGTATTGATATACCCATGCTCACTCAATTTTGTTTTATGTATTTTCGAACGGTTAATTGTATTTTACTGAAATGTAAATGCATGGGATGTCCATGTATAAGACTTAAGAACATTTGGTATTTGAAAATTTCCAAATGCAGTTGATAGTAGGGTTGTGCGAATATGTGATATTGGTAGAGATGACTCCCCACCGGTTATGACAGAGCACGTAACTTAGTAGGGAACTAGATTTTGGCAGGAGGATCAGTCCTTGGCAACCGAGTGGTTGCACCAGAGTGAATGGTCCATGAAGAATTACTAGAAGAAATTGCAGTCGAGTCAAGGGTAAGGGCAATAATGTGTCGAGCAAGATTACCCGCTTTACTTGATGGGGGCTGAAGTGGTGTCAAACCTTTGGTAGCAATCATGAGCTGAGTGGTTTCTCTTACCACAAAATTGACATGTTCTGGTAGAATTGGGTTTTGGTGGAGTCTATTGATGTTAAGGCCCTCGACCTCTTCTTTGCCTATAGCATCCACTTCCACGCCAATCATGTGTGCTCTGTCATCCACTCCATGAGAAGGGTGCTCAGTGAGGCAGAGTCCCTAAACCGCACCCTAGGTTACTTGCAAGTTGTTTCATTTGTTCTATTCACCCAATCCCTAAGATTTATGCTTCCTTAGCTACAAGCTAGAAAGAGAGAAAGCAAGGGAGGAGATCTCTCTGTTTCTTTTTTTTCTTTTTTTCAAAATACTTAAAACTTATTAGAATGAAATGGTGTTTTTAGAATGTATTATTTTGACTAGTTCCAGTTTAGAAACATGAAAATTACGCTGATGATTGCAGAGACTTGACATGATGATTAAAGAGGCTACTACTCTCACAGTTGCGAGGATGAATCAATGATGGTTTGTTTTCTTTTTATTTACCCCGCACTTTTTGTTTGTTGTCTTTTTCCATACACATTTTTTTAGTTTGGTAAAAAAATCAATCTTTTCTTTTCAAAATGGAGCTAAAGAGGTATGGAATCTGTATAAACAGCTGAGAAGTGAAAAACATAAGATTGAAGAAGAAGCTTCAACTGAGTGATCTGTGTCTCGATAGTTTCTTCTACGGCTTTCTTCACTAGCGTGCACATTTTCCAGAAGTAGTAATGTATATCATCAAAATGTTCAATCATCATTATCATCTGAGCCTTATCCGAACTATTTGGGATGTGATACACCAATCTTGTTCCACCATTCTGCTCTATCAAGGGGATTACCCTCAATCAGACCGTAGGCAACCATATCTCTTCTCGCTACTTCTATCGATGTCCTTTTGGGCCTTCCCTTTTCTCTTTTAGAGACTTCCATTTGAAATACCATTAAGATGTCCAACATGAAAGTAAATTTAGGGTTCATATATTTGAATCACAATAATTGTCTAGATGAGACAGGGATTATGCATGATGTTAGCTATTTTAATTGCATGTATCATGTGATCCATGCAACTTGGATAGCATTTCCCTTGTCATATCAGAAAATTCGGACAACAATTGGAAGGCCCTAATGTTCCAGAGAGTTTGCTGGTAGGTGTGAGAAACTTGTGCTCTTCTTAGCAGTTTTTGTCAGCCTATCTTTTTAGGTCATGTTTTAGGCAAGTTAGATAAACTTCAAACAACAGTCTTCTGTTCAAGGAGTATACTCATATTCAGCGTATACTTGAATCCCCAAATTGTTTTTCATCTACACTAAAGTAGACAACCTATGTTAATTGAGCTAAAAAAATATTCTTTGGGATATATTTTTAAATTTGGTTTTTTTTGTGAATATTTATTTGAATGGAAATAATGCAAAATTAAAAATTACAGTCAAATAAATGATTAATATAATTTTTGAATATTGTTTCAATATATTACTAGATAATCGTTGCATGAAATAACTCCCCATTTAAACCCTTATGAGGTTTGTGCTTATTCGGGGAGAGAGAGGGAGGGAGCATAGTGGAATCTCTTTGAGGGGATCCGTAAGGTTATATTGTTTTATTTCCGAAGTTGGCTCTCTGTTTTCGAAAAGGCTCTGTTGTGATACAGTATGAGGTCAGTTGAAATCTGTTGATTCTTGACTTAGTCAAATAATAAAAAAAAAAGGACGGCAACATACATGGGGTGAAAGTTCACTTTAAGACAAGTAAGGAGAGAAAGAGCAGAAAGAATGTCATCCAAGAACTTTTGGTTTAAAATAGCGACACTATCTGGAATCCAAGCTGAATGGTTTCAGGAAAATCTCAAATTGATGTATTCTGCTGTAATGGAGGAACAAGAACTCGATGGTGTTTCTAGAACAACTCAATTCTTATTCTTATGAATACCTTCCACCTTCCCTGTATTTACACGAATCCATATTTGTTATTTCACTTGATGAATAGCACATTTCAAGTGATCATCTGTTGCTTGCAAATTTACAAAACCCATGCTTCAATGAATTTGGTGGTGATTCTCAGATTGACTTAATTCTCATTTGTATAATTACGTTCTGTTTCACCAGTTTACTTAGACATAATCACTGGAGAAAGGCATTTTTTTTTTTGGAAATTTTACAAGAGCTAGGTTTCCCTATTTTAGTACTGGCCCTAACACACGATTGGAGGGTCAAAGTTCACTTGGAGTATTTCAAACTTTCACTTTTGGGGAATATATGAGTTCATTTATACCAAAACAAAAAGTTATGTCACAAATTTATACTAAAAAAGGTGGGGAAATCTCATAGAACATAGTGTCAATAATATGCATGCAAAAGCAACATGCAGGAGCTGTATTTAGAGTACACTCCAAGCAGTTCCATACATTGCACTGAAGAAGCAGAGCCAATTTGTGAAGGCCCTGCTACTGAAGAACTCGCATCCTGCAAGTGGATCTACTAAATGTACTCACATTTTAGTGTGCCCATCTGAATATGATAACATCTATAACATGTGGTAACAAGTAACAAACAACAAACATTTCCACAGGGTTACATTTATCTAGAACTTCTCTAAAACATTTGCGTCTCACAATGGGTAGTATTCTTCTAAAAGCCACCTGAAGACTTCAAGATAATGCTCTTCTATCTCAATCAGGCAAAGAAACTGATTGGCAGAAAGCTAGAGGCCTTCCCAAGGACCGGTTAAATCTACCATTTCTTTCAGATGTTGAAAAACATAGAAGAGCCTAACTTTTTGTATTTGTGAGATTTAATCTTGCCAGGACCCAGGTTGCTCCTATTGCAGCAATCAAAGCTAAGCTTGGTATGGCCCCTTTATGAGGCTTATGATCTGACATTCTTACCAACTGAGACACATTTTGTAAATATACCTTCGTCGGGACCACATCACCGCTTTCACCTTGATTGGCTACTTCACAATAAACTCATATATATCACACAAACCAACATGTTCAGAAGGATGTTAACTGAGTTTGTTGTGTGTGCACCTGGTAAGCTGTGTTGTTTTTTTTGTTTTTTTTGGAGGGGGGTTAGGAGAGAGAGAGAGGGGAGAAAGAGAGAGAGGGAGAGGATGTTGATATATGATCTCCTTTGTCCATACTAAAAAGCCAAATCTGAAGGGTTCTAATTGTACTGTGTGTGCATGTGTTCATATGTTTGTGTTGTGTTAAAACACACACACACACGCCAGCACGCATGCACACAGACATAGATAGATGCAGACACACACATGCGCATACGGACACACACATGTACATACGCACACACACATGCACACAAACACATGCAAAATATTAGAGGCAGATTGCAACTTTCAAAGTTTAAGCCCTCTGATCGGCTTGTCTTATTTTTCAAGTTTGCCACCATACTTCCGTGCAGCCTCTCTGCTGTCAATTGTTTGAGGCTTCCAGTTCTCTTGTGAAGGTCTAGAAGGAGGTGTCGAGGAGCGACTCAGCCACATACTCGAAGGCCTTGTCCTTCTAACATCATTTAGACTTGTTCTGCTTGGTCTACTCCACCCATTGTCAAAAGCCATGGATTCATCTTTTCCAGTGTAAGTGTCTCGGTCTGGAGAGGGAGCAAAGAGAGGTCCCCCTTTGTGATTTTCAATGTAGCCATCCCTGTCTGAGTAGGGAGAGACGAACATGCCATCTTGCTTCCCCCAACCATCAGTGCCGGTACCAAGTGGTGGGGTATTGTGATTCCATGTGGCTCCATCTCGCTCATAAAATTTGTCTGGGGAGTGAGCACGGAACAAGCCGTCATGCTTAGCCACCCGTCTTGTACCAAGTGGAGCGTGCATGTGATTTGATACAGCTTCGGGCTTAGGCTTACAAAGACCATCATCGCAATTAGGTGATGAAGCTGGAAACATTCCTTTAGGCCTAGTACACTCATTGCTCGAGACTTGTATAGGAGTGTACTTGTGGTCTGAGACTTCGAGAGGTGTGCACTTGTGATCTGTCCATTCTTCCCTGGTGATAACATGGCATTGGACATCGGGAGTTGGGGCAAGGAACGTCTCACTTTGATGGCTCCATGCATCAACGGGGTTTGCGTAATTGGTGTATACATCTTGTGTGCATTGGACATCGGGAGTGGGGGCGAGGAACCTCTCACTTGGATGGCTCCTTGCATCAATGGGGTTTGCACCATTGGTGTATACACCTTGTGTGTATGGCTTGCCGCCATGCCTACCCACTCCTGCTGTACTCTTGTTATGCATGTTCCAACAATCTGCCATTGCCTAGGTTCCGATGGTTTGAAAACTAAGCATGCAGTTGTTTCACTTGCGACAGTCATTGAGTGGTGCTCCCATTTATCCCCCCGTGCCGAGATTCTCTAACTGTGTGCGTGTTGGCATGTATGGACCACCAAAATATGCCTGGAGGTGAATGGAGACATATTCTTTAGGTTGATAGTTATCTATGGATTCCGAGGAAATCTATACCATGGTATAAAGATAGCATATGGTGGGGTAAATGGATGCTCGGGTTGTTTCAGTTGGTCCATATCCTCATAATTGTAGCCATTGATCCAAATAGTGAGGCTGTAAGAGGTCCTTGTCCATCTGATCACAACCATCCATTGGAATTGTAAAGCAAAATACTAAAGGTCAAGCAGCCCCAATAATGGACAGTTTAGGCATAGATACTTTGGGAGTGGTATTAGTGAAATACCCTACAGTTTTTGAATTAGGTTATAACATAGGGTGCAAAGAAACCACCTTAACTACATAAGAAGAGAAAGAACACAGAGAGAGCATAACTCCGGCATATTCAAGCCCATTCCTTATTCCTATTTCTATGGAGAAGTTATTCATCACAAATGGTTGATCGCATAAATATGTCTGTTCTAATATTTAAGGAAATTTGCGTCAATGCTTTCTACTGATTACAATATGGAAGACATCTATCATAATCCAGTGGCATATGGTATAAGGTTCTTTAAAGGGACTTCCACTAGTTTCCTGATGATGGATGGTGGAGAATAACTTTTTTCCCTGATTGAATGTCCTAGTGGCTTCTCCATATTTTGCACTATATGTCCATGTCCTAAGGAAAATGGAGTACTGTATATCATTGATACATGGGAATGTGTTACACTTCCAGCTGTTAGCCGAAATTTAAAATAAAAAGGATTTTTTTTTTTGGTAGGTCAGTGGTAGGAATTAAGTTTGAGATGTAGTATTGCTTAACGTCTGCTAACCACTCAAGCGAAGCCGAAGCCGAAGCCGAAGCCGAAGCCGAAGCCGAAGCCGAAGCCCAATCCCAATTTCTGAAATATAAAAAAGAGATGAGATTAACCTATTTGGGCTTTTTGCAAAAACTTGAATTGTTTGAACCCTTGACCTAAATTGATATGTTGCCACATAGCCGAAGCGTAAGGGACTAGTGGCCGAAATAACATCTCGTGTATACCAAAGATACATGGATGGTTAATGGGTTACCTGGTCCAGCCCCGATCAGCTTGGAAAAACTAGAACTTGGGCTATGAAATGTGGCTCGAGAGTCGAGCATGAGTTTGCCTTAGCTCAAGAGCTAGTCGGGGCCTAGACTAAGGCCATAGAAGGGCCGGCCGACCCAACCTATATTTTCCCTTTTTTTTTTTTTTGTATCGTTTTTTGCTTAGAGTCTCTTAAACCCAGTCCGGGATAGGCTCGGGCCTAGTCAAATGCTTATAAAAGCCAAAATATATTCTATTCCTACTGGAGCATAATGTTTATTTACTCCCTTGGACAAAACCCAGGACCCCAAATTTTGGGGATGTAATCCCTTCAACTCATATTTTAATCCTAATAGACCTTTTTTCCCCATAATTGTAGTCTCTGTGTACTTGAAAAAAATAATGTCTCGAGATTGAATAGAGAATAGCCAATTTTCAGATGGTGAGATCTATGTGTTAGAAAACTGAAATTTCAATTTTTTTTTAGAGTAATCATCTAGTAATTCTTAAAAAGTTCTCAAAATTTCAGATAGAAAAAATCCTCTCATGGATCTTCTGAACAAGCGAGTAGAAGTAAACTATGCTCCCAGGAGAACATAGTATGATATTTTTGAATAATGTGTGATTTTTACCATCGTGTAACATAGGGTCACATTCACTTAGGGATCGTTTGTATACGTGGAAATATATTGTCTATGAAATATATTACTGGCCTAATACATTACTGTGTAATACTTTTCATGCAAATGGATTGTTACTGTTAGGGTAGTATTTAAATGCAACTTGAGAAATACATTGCTCTTACTCGACATGGTTTAATATGGAATTATCTATATTGCACCTTAAATTTGCAATTTA